AGGACAATGCAAAATTTTAGTTGGGAGAGGATCTGTTGGATTTTGTTGTGAATTGCATGTGATTTGCAGAATTATCATGAAGTTTCAATAAAGTTTGGGGTGGAACATTCATCATCTTACTGCAATTTTTGCATGATTGTGTATTAAAAAAAAATTTGTTCATTTTCAGCTTTTACCTTTTAGCATTAGGTCATAATTATAGTTTTGTATGCTTGTGTGGGTTTAATAACTATGCCGGCTATGATGTGATTATTGGAATAGGTATCAGTTGTGAATGATGGAAATAGTATGTTATTGGATTAGTCTAAACCTGCTTATGTGAACTTCACATTTCCTATGCACGTTACTTGTGTTGGCATATTGAGTTAGTGATGTGGTTCATCATATAGATTATAGTTGAATATAGTAAATATCCCCAAGTAACCTCTAGTGTATTACTCCATAATCTAACTATAGGTTAGTTTGGAGATGATTGAACTGTTACAAGGGAACATTGAAATGAGTAGGGATTCCGTGCATGAAACTCTTGTGGATTGTCTAAAACTTAATGAGATGAAAACAAGGTGAAAGTTAAGTTAAAGGTTAGTTTTAGAAACTTGATGTCTAAAAGAAAATGGGCATTGTACTAATCTTTGAGTACATAAAAAGCATCTTTTTGAGCCTATATAACTTGGGTGATTAAGCCTATGAGGGTGATTTAAAACCGTGTGCCCTATGGTCATTTGACTTGGGAGTTATCGACCTAAAACTCGCTACATGGGTTATATAGAAAGCAAATGAAAATATACTAAAAAAATGAAAAAACATGAAAATGAAAAGAAAAAAAAATGCCCAAATACAGTGATTACGCCCTAGGCATCTAGTGGACAAAACTACACTTTGATAATAAGCAAGTAACTTAGTCTAGTCTTAAGGGTTAAAGTAAGAAAAAATATAGGAGAATCTCGACTTGTTGAAGTGTGAACTTGTAAGAGTGAAGTTTATCCAAACTAAGAGAGTGAAAGAATAGAATTGAATA